TCCAAGCTCCTCCCATAAAGCCGTGTTTGTTTTCTGATTGCTTTGCCCATCACCTAACTCACAGAAGCATGGGTGCGTGTTTAAAATGCTTATTCCCGGGTGCCCACTCCATATTCAAGAGAAGCAGAATCCACTGGTGTCTAGCACAGGAAGCTGAATTTTAACAGGACATCACCAGTTGTCACTGGTATTCAATTCTCCAGAACCTAGGGAACGGCTGTAAAAAGCTCTTAGCTTGTTTTTCTAACTAACAGATGTTTGGGGCTCTTTTAATAGAGGCCACGCATGTGTGGTGGACCTCAGAGCTCTCATTACCTCACACACACACTCCACACAACCCAAGACTGGGCTTGTGCTGAGTGAGCGCCTCTGTAATATCTTACCCTCCTCTCCCCAGTGGCACCACTAAAATTACCTGGGCTAAGCCCCTTGACTGAAAGTGTCAGCCAGCTAATGGAATCCATTAATCCTTTCTAATTGATTAGTGCTAATGAGCAAGGTTGAATCCCCTCGTTCTCAGCGCTTACTGAGGCTCGGAATGCCCTTGAGGGCTCGTTAAGACATAGATTGTTGGCTTCCACCTCCAGGGACTGCTCTAGCAGGCCTAGGGTGTAGCCTAGGAACCTGCATTTTAGCAAGTTTCCAGAATGTGATGTGGATGCTACAGGCCTGGGTACCAACCATTCTCCAGCTTTGTAAGTTATTGGAGAACCTAGGAAATGATCAGCAAGGCCACATACCACGCCAGATCAATCAGAGCAGCCGGGGGCCAGGCTGTCAGTACTTTTTAAATTATCCACATGACTCTAGCTTGCAACCAGATTTGGGGATTGTTGATCTAGAACTGCAATTCTTAAAATTGACCGCCCCAGAGGTCCTGTGGGCCTTTCTAGGGTACACATTCCTGGGCCTCCATGCAAAGAGATCTTGATTCAGAATGGCGTCATTAGGGAACTGGGCACTGTTTTTTTTTGTTTTGTTTTGTGTGTGTGTTTTGATAAGTTCTTTTTAGATGATAGTAGCAACCAGAGTGCCCAACCTTAGACTGCCAGGTCAAGTTCTTTAACAAGTAGGACCTGCCCAACCAGAAATTCTGATTCAATTGACCCAAGCTGTGGTCCTGGCATCTATAAGTGCCTTGGGCATTCCCGTTATTCGTTATTTTCACATGACTCCAAGACCGAGATCCATCCATTCGTATATCTGCATCGCCAATAGAACTTAATAAACTGCATGGGCGTCCACTCTGTGTCTCAGGGATAGTGAACTGGAACGCCCCGGACTGAAACCAAGCTCCGTATGTTTACCAAGCCCCGTGGGACATTCTGATGCGTAGTCATATTTAAAAGCTGTCTGTCTAAATCACATCTTCCATTTTAGCCATAGACTTTTGAGAGACAAATGGAAAATTTTGGAAACTGCTGGTGCAGACTGTTGACAGTCTCATCATTTCTGTTAGAAGGGGCAACCATTTTTGTGGATGCTTAGTGAACAGCTATTGCTCTAAATCTATCCTCTCTTCTCCCCTTTGGGACTTAGGGTTGAATTGGGGGAGAAGTCTCAGAGCTATGGCCTGAATGTTTGGGTTTCTATGTTAGGCCCCCAACCCTATTGTGGAATCCTTAGAACTTGGGGGAATTTATTTATTTATTTATTTATTTATTTATTTATTTTTGGTTTTTCGAGACAGGGTTTCTCTGTGGCTTTGGAGCCTGTCCTGGAACTAGCTCTTGTAGACCAGGCTGGTCTCGAACTCACAGAGATCCGCCTGCCTCTGCCTCCCGAGTGCTGGGATTAAAGGCGTGCGCCACCACTGCCGCCCGGCTGGGAATTTATTAAGTCATGAGAGATGTGTGCCCTTGTAAAAGGCAAGTCCCATGCCACTTCCACGCGTGAGGACAGAGCAGGAAGGCACTTCCTGTATACCAGGAAATAAGTCTGTACCTGACGTCCAGTCTGATAACACCTTGGCCTTGAACCCATCTCCGAGACATGGACCCCCGACTTTTATAAGCTGCCCCACTGAGAGTATTTTGTTTTACAGTTGCTCCAACAGACTAAGACACCAGGAATAATGACTGTCCAAGCCAGAAACCACCTGACTTCCGCCTACGGCGACACCACCTGCCATGCTGGCCCCCTAGTAAAATGAAAACGTGACTTAATGTGCTTCTGGCTGTCCCTGTTTTTCAAATGCTGCCATCTTCATTTCATGGGGACAAGTCCTCCGTGCTCTTTTCGTCCCGTTGCTCAGGGCAACGGGAAAGCCACTGAGCTCTGCCTCCCCATTTCCCTGCTTGAGCAGGCAGGAGTCTCCTAAGCTGTGGTGATCTTTGGCTTGAGTTGAGCCAAGGGGAAAATCCTCCAGCACCTGTAGTGGTCCTGACCCACAGGTTCTGTGAATCCAGGCTTCGATGACAGTTAGTTGTAGGTCAAGATCTGATGAGCAATGGGTCCCTGATGCACCCAATCAAAGTTCAAAACTGGAAAGCAACCCAACACATCAAATTCCCCAGAGAGCCATAGAAAGTTTTGTTCAAGAATAGGCCATGCCAGTGTGGTGGTGCAAGCTTTAATTCCAGCACTGGGGAGGCAGAGGCAGGTGGATCTCCATAAACCTGAGGTCAGCCTGGTCTACACAGTGAGTGCTAGGCCAGCCAAGGTGTACACACAGTGAGACCTTGTCTCAAAAACACCAAACAAAAACCCCAAACAAACAAAGAAATTACATACAAAGGGGAGGTTTTTGGGGGGCCTGTTTTCTAGAGTGATCTTAAGAACACAATTCTGTACTGGTGATGGTCACTTCACAAAGATTCAGAGTCCTCTGAATGCCAGCTGTCATGAGTGACCCTGCTTCTTGCTCATTAGTGACTTCATAAGATTCTCGTGGGTTACAGCAGGAGATTGGTATTTTGCTATGATTTGTGAACCTATCCTTGTTTCCTTACCTGGCCAGGGTGTAAATATCACTGGGAAACAGGAGGAATGTGTACCTTCTAACCCTCTGAATAATCCAAAGGGTCTTTTCTCTGGTAGAAGCTTATACATTACAAATCAACTGAGGAAAAATGGCTCTTTCCTTTGCTTCCTACGCCTGTGTCTGTGTGTCTCTGTGTCTGTATGTCTCTGTGTGTGTTTATGTGTCTGTGTGTATGTGTGCGCACGCGTGTGTGCATGTGTGTGTGTGTGTGTGTGTGTGTGTGTGTAGACACGTGAAAGTTGAAGGACAGCTTTCAGAAGTTGATTCTTAACTTTCACCACCTGGGATCTGGGGACTGAACTCAGGTCTCTGGCCTTAGAGGCAGGCACCTTTACCCACTGACCCCCGTGGCTGGGCCTCCTCTGATTTCTGAGCTAAGTAGATGTGAGGGAGGCGGCTAGGGGAAGGCTTCCACTTACCAGTTAAGGGACAGATGATCTAATTTGAGTGTGAGACATCCTTTTCTTTGACTCCATGTCTTTGGGGGAAATGGATAAAGTCTACAGTGCTCCTAGCTACATCCGTGTCTATGCTAATATTTCTCTCATTGCTGAGCCCAGGGGATCCATTCTCTAAGGGCAAAAGCCACAACAGTTTACCGAATCCTCACTGGCTCCAGCATTGAAGTCTTTTCGATTGAGCATCCTGAAATGCCTTTCCTATCTTGGACCTACGTCTTTTTTCATTCCCCTTTGTAGATCACCTCTCTTCCCGCATCTTTAGAACAAAACTCCCAATAAGATTTATCCGTACTCACGGGCCACATTCCCCCACGGTACCACTTCTCCCCCGCACACACACCACCCTTCTACTGAAAGTGCCTGCTTCAAGGCCACCAACGACCTCCTTCTGACCAAATGTGTTGTCAATTCTCCGTCCCCCTGCTGGTTAATGTCAGCCTTTCAATGCATTTTCTCTTTGATATACTTTACCGGGGTCCCTGGAAATCCTGTTTTGTTTGTTTTGTTTTCCTGACTTCTTTATTGACGTGTCTTTGACTCTCTGGCCTCTACATTGACCAGCTCCATCCTTGGGTCTCTCTTATACTAACTCAGTACATTGCTGGTCTTATCTAGTTTCCTGACTTGAAATACCATTGATGTGAATCAACTCCCAAGTTCTTTGAGTCTTCATGTCTTTTTGAACATCTGTCTAGTCCACAGTTTGATTTGCACAATCTAGAGGCATCTCAGACTTGGCGTTTCCATACTGAATCCCCCGTCCCCAACAGACACTTTCCCAGTCTCCCCCATGGCAAGAAGTAGCATTTGTACGACTTCTTAAGATATACAGGCCTTCTTTCTCTTCCTCTCCAACTGACAAGGCCTTCTCATCAGCAAATCTTGTGAACTCTGCTCCCAGATGTATCCAGAATCTGCACTCTCTCTGCCTTTACCGTGGCACTGTGGTCCAAATCCTGCTTGTGCCTTACTTGGATTGCGACACTAGCCACCAGTCTCCAGCTTTCAACCTGTCTCCCTTCAGTCTATTTGCAATAGAGCAGGTTAAAATTGTGTCGATTTAGGTCAGTTCTTCATATAAGCTTCCGTCTTAGAGTAAATGCCAGTGTGTGTGAGAACCTGTGCCCCTGGACTCGCATACCTTCCCACGGAGGCCTTGTCTTTCTCTGAGCTCTCTGGCCTTCCTTCCTATCACTGCCCCTCCATCACTCTGCTTTTCTTCCTGGGTTCCCAGTGACCACAGACATCTGTCCAGCTCTTTCTTTGGTATTGGGTGCCTGTCTAATGATGCTAGTTAAGAATATGGACCATCTGAAGCCTTGCCTTCCTAGACTGTTTACCTTCTTGCTTTTCTTTCTTCATGACATTGTCTTATCATTTTACATATATGTTCCACATTTATTTAGTATCTCTCTTATTAGAATGGAAACATGAGAGTTTTTTCATGGAATGATATATATTTCATATTATCTAGTATGTCATACAGTGTCTAACAGCCACTATTACATGACTGGGCTTTTGGCCTAGAAAGGAAAAAATAGGACCCTCAGATTTTTAAACCCCTCCCCTTAGTTAATAATAAACATGATAGGTTGGAAATGGGTATTTATTTCATTTTCTTTCCAAAGTCATTTATCAAATGACATGTTCAATGATAACATTTATATTTTTAAAAGCCAAAGTTAAATACAATTTTAAAACTCAGAGGTAACCAGCAAAAACATAAAGCAAAAAGAGATGAAAGCAGTTGGCCCTGGGGAATGAGGACTTGAAGAAGCGAAGACATGGGACAGGGGACTTTGTGGTTGGTATTTCGGGGGGTATTTTGTTTCTTCTTGTTGTTTTAAGCATCGGAGAGCAATTTAACTACAAGAGAATATTGCTTTGATAAAAAATGAAGTTAAATTCAAAAAGAATATTCAGTATTCCAAAAGAATGAATAAAATTCAAAGGGGTCTGGGATATTTCTTTCAAAGCAGTGAGATCCAGAAGGCAGAGAATAAATACAGACACGGAAGAGCCGGAGACTGCACTCGGCCTCCCTGCTTTAACAGTTAGAGAACTTGACATTCAGGGACGGAAAGACACACAACACGAATGCATCTTGTACTCGGCTGCAAAGAAAGAGCTCAAGAAAATATGAAGAGCAGAACTTTTACAGGCTTCGTGTTCTAATAAGAATCCAATACGATTAGAAATGAATGATATATGAAGGGGGCGTTGGAAATTTCAAAATTCTTCTTCTCTCTTGGCGCAGCCTGGCTTTCAGCAGCTCTTTCCCCCCTGGGGATCCGATACATAAAAAGCTTCATTTGACAGTCAAAGCTGGGCGGTGACTTTGGTGTTCTAGCCAGTGACTGTCCTGCCCCTGCGGCGCTGCAGCTCATTGATTAAAAGGATAGGGAGCCATATGGCATCTTGATCTAAAGAGAATAAAAAATACATTAAATAATCCCTAAAATACCATATCCATTATGCATAAGGGCGGCCATTGCTTTACATGCACAGTCACAAGATGCCAATGCGTTGATGGAAGGATGCAGAATTGCCTGTCTCTGCTCTGCCTCTCTGCCCATCCTTGGTCAGCTCCTCTGGAGTAAGCCCGAAGGCAACAAGCTTTGCTAACAAAAGGGGTTTCCTGGCATAGTCGAAAAGGTCTTTAAAGCATACGGATCCCTTCTCATAGCGAGATACCTGGTACGAAGCATGTTCCTGGTCCCAACTTCAGACCAGCTGGATCAGAATAACTTAGGGGATGGGAACATGGTGTGTATGCAAATCGCATACAAAGTGAAGTGTGAGTACCCATGCTTCCCGATGGACGTTTGTGTGCTCGTGTGTTACACATCCGCTACCCCAGTCATCTCTCAGATGATACTGACAACCTGAGAATCAGGTAAAAGAATCACCTCTGCGGTAGGTTTTTGGTGTGTGTTTTGGTGTATTTTCAGCTTAGTCCTAATGAAAGTCCTGAGACTAACTACCTGGCAAGCTGGAAACATGGCCATTTGTGGCGTTTGCCTTTAATCACGTTTCAGCGTGGCTCACGAGCCATTCTCGTAGCAGGAACTGCTGATGGAGGGTTTGCCACTTGTACCATGTACCGTCTCACCTCGGCTGCTCATGGGTCAGAAGGCTCTCCACGGAGGATGCGTCCCAAAATAAAGAAAAATGTTCCTAAATCTTTTATCATTCACCTTGAGGTAGTCTAGAGTACTGAAAAAAAAATAAAAAGACAAATAAACAAGAAATAAAACAAAACAAAAAGCTGGACATGATGGCACACACCTTTAATCCCAGTGCTGAGGAGGCAGAGGCAGGCAAATCTCTGAGTTCGAGGCCAGCCTGGTCTACAGAGCAAGTTCCAGATAGCTAGGGCTACACAGTGAGGCCTTGTCTCAAAATAACAGCAACAATAAAAGAAATTCTAGAGTTCTGAAGTGTCTCAGGCGAATGAGCCTGAATGCATAGGTGCAGCCGCGCTAATCCAAGCAGCCGTCAACATACGCCTAAGTACCTGGACCAACGCTGGGTTCGTCTGCGTACGCAAAAGAAAGCAATGCTGGCTGAAGAACACAGGAATACGTGAGAGCACAGTAGTAGGCTAGAGAGCTCTGTGGTGTCATGTGGGAACTGTGGTCAGAGCAATATATTACAGTCCCCCAAGCACACTAAGAACACATTGTAATGGTCTTCCTACAGAGCTTAGACCTCTGGGAGGCAAAACCTGTTAACTAAGCGGTTTAACTGGTCCACAATATATGTATTTTTAAACATGTGCTTCACACACTAAACACAATTTTGTCTGTCAATTTAAAACACTTCTTTAGTTTAAAAACAAATAAGCAGAATTTCAGGGAGCTGGAACCGTGGCTCAGCAGTTAAGAGTGCTGTCTGCTCTTCCAGGGGACCTGGGTTTGAGTTCCAGCACCCACATAGTGGCACAAACCATCTGTATAACTTCAGTCCCAGGAGAAGTGGTGCCCTCTTCTGGCCTCTATGGGTACTGCATGCGTTGCGTGTGGTGCTCTGTCCATACAAAGGTAAAGCACCCACCCATGCACATCCTACTGTGATGTTCTTCTGTCCACATGCTCAGATCCAATGACGTAGCGGACCATGGCTCAGACCTCTGGAACCATGAGCCGAAATAAAGCTTCCTCTTAAGGGTACTTGGCCACAGTGACAGAAAACTAATACAAATTGAAATTGACTTCTTTCTCACTGTAGCAGAGTTCAAAAGCAGGCCATCTAGGGCTAATACAGTGCCTTCAAAATGTCATCAAGGAAGAAGGTTCTTTGTCTTCATGGTCATAATCCAAGATGACTGCCGGCATCTCTAGCATTTTCCTCCACTCCACACAGCTAAACAGTGCAGGAAAGGAGAGTGGCTTCCTAAGGGTCAGAACCTTGTATCTAATAAAGGGTTAAGTAACTAGTGTTAACCCCTGGGAAAGAGGGTTTTAGCATATGTTACTAGCAGAATTTAGATTCTAGGTCTTCAAGACCAAATTGAGAACAAGGGTTGTTGTGAAACACTGAGAAAAATGATCGATAAGATAAGGGTGGGGACATATTTCAAACTTTGTCTGAAAAGGAAAATGGAGAAGCCACCATGAAGTGCCAGAATGGAAGAAATAAACCACCCATTACGGGGACAGAATGCGACATCACAGAAGCATCATGTGTTAGTTACTAGTCTTAGATTTATCTGGAAGGTAGGGGCACTGGAGTCCATATTCTTTCTCCTGGACCAATATCAGCAAGAATGGGTGCTCTACCCCAGAAGCTAGAAGGATAGTCCTGGTGCTCAAGAGAAACCATAAGGACAGCCCAGTGTTCTAGAGAATGGAGGGAGATGGGGATCATGAGATGCAGTGGAGCAGCTTAGCCTAAACTGAGGGTCAGGCAGCAAACCATACTATCCCAGAAATGTGCAGTTCAGTGTAGCATCAGGACAAGTGTTTACCAGAGTAATAAGTGGACCAGGCCACCACAGCTTTCCAGTATAGTAGAAGCCAATGAGGACCCAGAGCCCCTCATAGAGCTCTGTGAAAACGGGAGACTTCCTGCCTTCATCCATCACCATGTGACCATACTGCTGTATCCTCCCAGAACTCATGCACCATCCTGGAGAACACAGGACACACGAGAGATGTGGAGAACTAGGCAAGTCCAAATCAAAAGGATGAAAGTTAAATCTAAGGCAGCTGTTTACATGAGGCCAAGTTTACTGGATCTGACTTTTAAAGTTTTGGTTTTTCATCCTACCTGTAAATGAATGTAACTGTTGATGAAAACCAGATCCGTTAATAGAAATTTCTTTGCATTATGTTTTACTTACTTGAGACCAATGTAAGTTTAAAATCCTACTGTTCCATAACTCTTTGAAATTGAAAGAATGTTCTTATTTTAAGAGTTTATTGGATTCTTTTATATGTCTGCTTGTGGTGGAGAGGAAATCAAATACCTCTTCAAGAATTCAAATTGTTTTATGAAACCGAAGAACACCTCCTTTTGTGTTCTTCTTAATTCACACAAAATACTCTTTCTTGCTCTGCCAGGAAAGCGGAAGCCCAGTCTCACTCAGGATCACCCCTGCTTCTATGTCCCCTCCCCACAATGCCGTGGGGTGTCACACTTCAGTCTGTCTTCTATTTCCTCTTCCTGTCTCCTCCATACTTCCCCTAGTATAGGACCAGCCACACAGTTTCCAAAAAAGAAAAAGAGCCCTTGGTTTCAAGCCTGTTAGGAATTTCACAATAGCAACAAGAGCAGGTGTGGGGCCAGGGGTGGGTCTGGAGAGCACACATAATGCAGCTAGGCCTGCTATGACCAAGACCTTGCAGTCGTGGGCTTGCAGCTGCCTTCTTCTGGCTAATGGCAATCCTTCTTTCTGATTCTGGCTTAGACCATGAGCCTGGTTGTCATATACTCACAGGGACCTGACCTTCTGCCTGTTTCCCTGTGGCAGATTAAAAACCAGAACAAAACAGACCAAAACAAAATAGTTTTAACTTCATAATAAAGATTAATCTGTATCTTTAAAAAAAGACACTGCTGATTTCCTTATAATGTGACGTGTAAGGCATCTGAGACAAGGAAGAGCATGGCTTAGAATGTTTCTAAGATAGTCTTTGTTGCAAAAGAGAAAGAATACAAATTAGCCCTAGAGGAGATTGCGACGTGGTTACAGTAGGACTTGGAAAGGAACCAAGAGAAACGGGAGAAATGGAAGTGGACTCACTGAAATACAAAAAGAGCAGCACAGGACCGCAGAGTGGCAAGGAAATCAAGATAAGAGTGAGAGACGTGGAGGGTAGAGACATAATGGAGCCATGTATTACAGTCGGAATCCAGTACACAGAAGAGCGAATGCGTGAGAGATTCTCAAAACCAAAGAAAACGCCTAAGATTTTCTCTTAACAAAATCCATAAAAATCACACTGAGTCATGAGCAGGATAAAAGCATTTCTCAACACAGATCCATTTTAGTGACAAGCGATTAGGAGTTCTTCCTGAAACACATGAAAAGAAAGCACGATAGATCCAAAAGAGAAGTCAGGTTTAGATAGACAACAGACCTCCTTGGAAGCAACAAGCGCCAGGTGAAGATGGAACCTGTTCAAAGTGTTCGGGAGGAAGATAGACAGGACGGAACTTTAGCTTCAGGTAAGTCACTGTGCAAGATTAAAGGGAGTATAAATACATTTCACTATATCTAAAGCCCAAGAGAGTTAGCTGACTCCCACCCAAAGGATTCTTGTAAGAGAAGCTTCTGCAGGGCAGAATAAAAAGTCAAAATGAAAAACGGAATTCAGGAACAATAGCCCTGCTCGCAACAAGTAAGATATGGGGTTAGCCTAAGTGTCTACCTGCACGTTAGTAGATACACTGTGGAACATACGTGTACAAAGAGATATCGTTTAGCCATAAAGAACGAAATTGTCACTTGTGGCAAAATGCTTGGAATGGAAGGACACTGTATGGACCAAGAGACGGCAGATCCAGAAAGACAAGTATCAAAGGGGCTGCCGGAATTTGGGAAGGAGATGGTGGGACAGGAGTCTGGGTTTGATAATGCAAGCTATATATGTGGGCCAAAATATTAGGCAATACCATAAAGGAGCCTTTGAGATAAGAGGTGCAAAAATATGTGGTTCGTGGGACGACTTAAAACACACTCATAGCCGGGCGGTGGTGGCGCACGCCTTTAATCCCAGCACTCAGGAGGCAGAGGCAGGCGGATCTCTGTGAGTTCGAGACCAGCCTGGTCTACAAGAGCTAGTTCCAGGACAGGCTCCAAAGCTACAGAGAAACCCTGTCTCGAAAAACCAAAAAAAA